TGTGACCTCCGCCACCCACAGGAGTGGGGAGATCTGGGGAGCGGCTCCCGAGGGCCTGCGTCCCCGGGTCGAGCCCGGAGGGCTGTGGTCAGCCAGCGCGGCCCCTAGGCTCTCTGCGCTCGCCGCAAGGGCCGCGGAGGAGCAGCCCCTGGTAGGTAACTTGCCGGGCGCCCACCTGAGTATTCCGCACCGCGGAAATTCTGTGCCCGAGCCACTCGGCCGCCGCCGAAAACCTGGGAGCATCCCAGGGCAAAGGGCCAGCCCTCCGAAGTAACTGTGTGCAACTGATGCGTGCCATCTCGTGCTTGCCGGTCCTACTGTGCAACTGACTTAGCTGCCCACGGCGCGGGGCTCCGGGAAACACGCCTTTCGGGGCCGGGGCGAGAGAGGACGGCAGAGCGTTGTGAACAAAGCCTGCCCCTTCTCCCGCGGTACCTCGGGGACCATCCGAGAAGTGCACAGTCTGGGTTCTTCGCCTCCCGGGACGGTTCTCCTTAGGGAGCAGGGTGGATGACAATGTGTGTGTGTGTGTGTGTGTGTGTGTGTGTGTGTGTGTAATTCCCTGAGGAGACGAAGGGCGCCCGCGAGGCAGGGACTTGCTCTGACTTGCTTCACACCTGGCGCGGTTTCTCCAACGCTGCGCCGCGTCCAGGGCCGAGAAGGCACGCGGAGGGCGAGCCACGATCGCTGGAGGAAAGACACCACCCCCCTCCTAGACTTCCACGCGGCCCAGGGACCTAGGCCTCTTTTCTTCCTGCTTCTGCTTTTTTTTTTCATTTTTTTAAAATTACAAATTAAAAGATGTGTTTCTGTTGATGCGTAGAATGATAAAAAGGCCCTGAAAGTAAGACGCGAAGGCCGGGGAAGGGGGAGCCAGCAGTTGACAGGACTCCCACAGCCCAACTGCTGAGCATGAGGGCTTGGAGGCGAATGCGAGGACAGCACTCAAAGAGCTGGCGAAGCTGCCTCCTGGGGGGACCGGCCCCACGCAGAGGTGCGCTGCTGGGACCTGACTCCGGTCAACTCCCCTCACTGCTGGGACTCGGAGCTAGCCGGCGCGCCTGCGAACGCCCGGGCGACTGGAGGAGGAGAAAGTTGGGATGCAGTGCAAACTCCAGAGGTGGCCTGAGCTGTGCTGCCCTAGAGAACAGCGAGGTCCCGGGCGGCTCTGGGGCGCTGCCCCTGGGCGGGGAGAGCGGGAGGCTGCAACGCGAGGCCGCGCCCGGAGCCTGGGCGCGCCGTGGGGGAAGGGGGCGGGCGTTTGGCTGGAAATGGGACAGTGTCTCCTATGGGAAAGTGGGACCCGGCGAGCTCTTTGGCTGCCTTTCCAGTTTCCGAGGTGCCCGCCCCCGCGCGCCGGAGGCAGCGCAGCCGGGAGGGCGAACGAATGGCGGTTAACAAACTTGGAATTAGAGCGCGCTCGGGATCCGAACTGCCAAATTGTGGCGGGGGTGGCAGCGGCCGAGACCCAAATTCCCTTCTTTTGCCTGCCTGCCTGCCCCACAGGCCTTGGGGACCAGCACTGCTTTAGCTCCAAGCTAGCTCGGCGCCACGCTCCAGGGACTTGTGTCAGTTTGCTCTAGGGCAGGGAGGGCGGCGGCCTGAGCGGGTGGGGAGGGGTCCCTGGGGTCCGGAGCGCCTCTTCCCGCGTCTCTCCTCCCGGCCGCCCCTCCCAGTCTTTCATTCTTGATCCTTCCTGGGGCTGGCTGGACCGGCGCGGACTTGCCCCAGACCTACGGGGAGCGCCCCAGGTCTTTAATGACAGCTTAAAAGTGGCTGGAGGGAAAGGGGAAAGGGATGGACGTGGGGCGTGTTTCGCTGCTTTGCAAGAGGCGGAAAGGGAGCTGGGAGCCGCGCGGCTGGCCCCAGGCCCCTGCGCCTTGCCGCCAGCAAGTAGGTGGGGGAGCCACCGCTGCCGCCAGCCCCATCCCGCTCCCAAGCCTCGCCCGCTGCGCCCTGGCCGCGGGCGCAGAGAGGGTGCGGGGCCTCGCAGTGCCTCCTCCACCCTGCTCATTAACCTGCCTGCTCCGCTGCGCTCCGGGCGTCCCCACACACAGGCTTCTCGCAGAAGCACCCGCGGCCCTCCGGGCGCAGCCTCCGCCCCGACCCCCGGCTTCGGGGGGCAATGAGGGGGCGGTGGAAGGGGCACTGCTCCTCGGGCATTACTTAGAGAAGCGCGACCGCCCCGCCCTCCCGCCGGCCCTCCCTCTCTCCCGCCCGGGCCCGCGCGCCACTCCGCCAGAGGGTAAGTTGGGAGTGTTTCGCCCCCACTGACAACTCTCCCTCCCCTTCCCTTTTTTTCCATCAAAGTTTTCTTAGAAGTGGGAGCGGGGTGGAGGAGGAAGAAGGTCCGGCGAGCCTCCGTCTTGTTCTCTCTCCGGGTCTAATTTACCCCCACCTCCCTTCCCCTTCATCCCCTGCGTGCGGCTGCCCCTCCGGAACAGCGCTCCGGAATGACAATTGGAGCGCGGCTCCTTTAAGAGCCCGGCTTTGCCTCCCGGTAGCTGAAGGTCATTAAACACAAAAGCTCTCAGCGCTGCGGTCCAATATAGCGCATGCGCCCTGCCCGAGGACTGGCAGAGAGACGGCAATATGGCGAGAATGCCTGGCAGCGGGGACTGTAACACCAG